ATAGGGAATATTCCACATGTTTTAAATCCAGAAACTCCTTTTTCTATATTCGCAACTTTCTCATAGGCTAGTTTAAAAATTTCAGCAAGGTCATAAGGAGTTACTTTATTTTCGAATTCGGAATTGTACAGTTTTGACTTTAAAAATACATGACACTGTTGGCTAAAAGCATTTTTAAATGGGCCAAAGAATGTTACATCTAATGGCTATAGCCTGTGAGATGTGTGTGGCGGAATTGATACCATAATTATTCCCATATTCTTGCAAAATTCATATATTTCAATAGAAATGTGACTACTATGGTTATCTAACACCAGTAATACTGGGTTTTCCTGGCTGCATAAAACTTTTGCCTGAAAATGTTTAATCCACATAAGAAAAATATTTTCGTTGCTCCATCCACTTTCAGAGCATGTATAAATTGCACCGGTAGGTCCATTTTTTCCAAATAGTGGATTCATCCGTTTTCTGGCAAATACGAATAACGGTGGTATAAAAGTGCCCGTTGCACTCATGCATACAATAAATGTTGTATTTTTACCACGTTCCCAAGAAGTTACAATACCAAATTGTTTGATTCCTTTTGGTCCAAGTCTCTTTTGATGTTCATTAGGAACCGTGGATATACCAGTTTCATCGACGTTGAATATTCGATCAGGTAAAAAGTTATGTTTTTCTTGCATTCTTTCCAAATTAGCAAAAAAAAGCTCGACTTCACTTTTGTTGAAAGCAGTTATTCTATTAATGCTAGTAGCTTCTGCCTTACGTAATGAAATTTGTGGGTTTCTTCTCATAAAACGATGTAACCAATCTTTACCCGCCATTTGTTTTTCGGCATTAAATGTGTTTGGTATATTATTTTTTTCCGCATACTTAAACGCAATTTTTCTTAATTCTATAGGCATTAAGCCAAAAAATAATTTAGCCAGCATAATCACATGATCGGCGATTTATTTTTCCTGAATAAGTGAAAACACGGCAGCTCTTCCTAAAGACTGAGATTTCGATTGGATTTGTTTATTTTTTAATTTCAATTTTCGCCTTAAAGTAGCTTCAGGAACTTCAAACGATCTAGACACTTCTCGAATTTTTCGACTATTTGCAACTATTTCGTGTAAAGCAGCATTCACTTTTTCTGAGGAATAATTTCCCCTTTGAGTTTTTCTATTATATTTGACCGGCATCTGTAAATAAAATAATTTTAAGTCCCATATAAATGCTTGTCGGAGAAGATGGCGCAGGTTAGACGGGAAACATGACGCACACTGCGTCATCTTAACCAATACGACACGATAATACAAATATTATTATAAATATCTTTTATCATCAATAGATAATTATGAAAACATCTTTAAGTCATAGAAAACTACTCACTCGAAAGCACTATGTGAAATTAGAACTATAATATTATAGCTTAACGGCTTACCTTTCAATGTAACATCAGAGTCACCTAATAACATAAATGCGTCAGACACACTTCGCTTACAAACTCATACTGACCGGCGCAGGAGAAGGCTGCTATTTAATATAGACACTCAATAGATTATTATGGATTGCGCTGCCAGACAACTAGGTCGCTCTATGGTTTGAATTAAGAAATAATTAGATGCGTCATCTTTGACTCCGCGTCATCTTCACCCTCCTTCCCCTACGTACATCCAACAGAGGCTGATATCACTAGGCCAAGAATCAGTGAATGCACTTTTGAGGAAATCCTGAGTCTCCGAAGTCCACTGGAACGCAGCTAAGTAGTAGCAATACAAGATATACCACTTTATTATTGATTTTCATATATTTTTCGTACTCATAACCATAGTCCTTAATGCTTAGAGAGGTATTCTGTTTATGTAAGCACGATAGTACCCCTTTGGTTATTTCTTCAGCATTTCCTGCGGTTTGTAGCGAGACGTGTCCATAGTAATCCTCTACTGGTTCCTGGATTAGTGAAATATATTCTTGCTTTTTCACACGTCGTCCTTCTTCCTGAAATATAGTCTTATCTTTACGACCAACAAAAAATAATCCTTGAATTGACGTAATCTGTACTGTTTTTTAATGGATTCTCTGTTTTTACTGATTTATCTTCGAATCTTATTTTTGTCTATTATGTTTACCATTTTATCTATGGAAACTATTTTCAAATCTTCTAAGACCGCATTAACTATTTTTGCGACAGCTCGATTCGACAAACCCGTTAAATCAGCTGCTCTTGGAGATGTTAATAATAACCGCATTTTTCTACCTTTGCTTTTTTCTTCATAAGTTTTTCGACACAAGGACATTTAAAGTCTTCATCTTCATGGCTTGAAAATTCTGAGATTAAGTCATCTGTATGCTGCGGTTTCTCAGCTTCTTTAATAGTTTGATAACCACTGGGCCCTGGAAGCGACAAATCAGGTTCAATTTTTCTTATTCCTTTTTCTTTTCATTCTTTTCTGTATTTGTTTACTTCAAGTTTTGTCAATACCACCCATAATCATATTTCTTTGATTTCGTTGATCCTGAAGAAACGGCCATTCTAAGGTTGATATTTTACGA